CTATAGCCCGAAAAAACCCACAAGAACCTAGTGATTCCAGCCATGAAAGCCTTCGACAATACATTGAACTTTCTTCCAGCAATTTTCACCCCAGCTTTGCATTCGTCAAACCCCGCACATCGCATGATGTGTTCTGCATACAAGTTAAAAAGGTTGGGTGAGAGGATGCAGCCTTGCCGTACGCCAGGAAGTTTAGCTGGGTTATATTATAGAGAAGCCGGTTTTTTAAACCGTTTTAAACCAGAGTGGATTAATTTCCTCCCTTTTGCCACCCCCCCCCCTTTTCTGGAGTAAAACAACTACTTTCAAAGTAAAGACCACCCATTAACGAATGATTCGGAAGTATTGTATGTATTGTAAAGTTTCGAACTTTTTTTCCATTAAAATCAGAATTGACTTTAGATACGAACCACCAGCGCCCCTATATACGAAACGAGTTTAGAACCAATTCTTTTCTTGATCAACCAAGCCTAATATATATATATATATACACACACACACACACTATATTATATTATTAGCATAGTACAATATCAGTATTATATATTACTATATTGTACTATACCATTATATTATAATATTATTAGTAATACTACATGTAATATAAAATATATAATTATATTGTATTAGTATTATATTGTATTACATTATGATATAAATATTATATGTACATACAGTATATTATATTGTATTGTATTGTATTGTATTATTAGTAAAGCACAGGAGACAAGATGGAACTTGCACTTTCAATTCTTTTATTTCTCTCATTTTATTTTATTTTATTTTATTTTATTTTATTTTATTTTATTTTATTTTATTTTATTTTCCCTTCTTTTTCTTCTTCCTCCTCCTCCTCCTCCCCTTTTCAACGAGAAAGAGCGCCCCCTTTTGGATACCGACCGGGATTGCACTTTCGTATCCTCTTTCAGGCAAGGAGGAAGCGTGGTCACGTGATGTCCTGAGGAGTTGGAGGCGTAGGTGGGCGGGGCCTATAGTTGTGACGACGTGGAAGAGCTTCTAGACGAGGTTGGGAGCGCGCGGGCACGGGCGGGGCGTTGTGGTGGACGAGCGGGAGCGCGCGCGCACGGGCGGACGTACACCACGCACGGAAGGACGCACGCAGAACGGCGAGCGAGTTTGCCTTGGCGAGCGAGAGAGTGAGGCGCTCGGGGAGGGTGCCACCCCTTTCACCTTCCCCCCGGGAACCAGAGCCGTGTAAGTTTCCGCCCCCTTTCTTGCCTTGTCTTCCCTCCCGCCCCATTTGCTTGCTTTATGGACCTGGAGGGGATCTGAGCCTCAGCCTGTCCTTCTGCCTCGAAGGGAGGCGGCCGGGTAAGTTTGTGCCTGCCTTAAAAACATTCCCAGCCAATGGATGCTTGAATATATGGGTTCAGAATCAGTGTATATTATGGAGGGCTGGCTGTACTTGTTATATCCCAATGTGTTGACCAAAGACAAGAACCTTTATTGCGTTTGCTTAGTTAGACCACACCTGGAATATTGTGCACCACAATTCAAGAGAGATATTGACAAGCTGGAATGTGTCCAGAGGAGGGCGACTAAAACGATCAAGGGTCTGGAGAACAAGCCCTATGAGGAGCGGCTTAAGGAGCTGGGCATGTTTAGCCTGAAGAAGAGAAGGCTGAGAGGAGATATGATAGCCATGTATAAATATGCGAGAGGAAGCCACAGGGAGGAAGGAGCAAGCTTGTTTTCTGCTTCCTTGGAGACTAGGACGCGGAACAATGGCTTCAAACTACAAGAGAGGAGATTCCATCTGAACATGAGGAAGAACTTCCTGACTGTGAGAGCCGTCCAGCAGTGGAACTCTCTGCCCCGGAGTGTGGTAGAGGCTCCTTTTTTGGAAGCTTTTAAACAGAGGCTGAATGGCCATCTGTCAAGGGTGATTTGAATGCAATATTCCTGCTTCTTGGCAGGGGGTTGGACTGGATGACCCATGAGGTCTCTTCCAACTCTTTGATTCTATGAACCACTGGCTAGAGCAGTGTTTCTCAACCTCGGGGTTGGAATCGGAAATTGCACGAGCATCAGATTCAAGCTGACATTCTGCTGTAGCGTGAAACATATTAAGAGGAAGTATGTTGTTGTTCATTCATTCAGTTGTCTCTGACTCTTCGTGACTTCATGGACCAGCCCACGCCAGAGCTCCCTGTCGGCCATCACCACCCCCAGCTCCTTCAAGATCAGTCCAGTCACAGGACCAAGGCAGAGACATCTCCAGCTCATCCCCTGTTTGGGTATCAGCCACCACGCCAACGACTTAAATCTAGACATAGTTTTCTAAGATCTACAGAGACACTCGCTGGAACACCTCAGCAAGCGAGAGTCCAAAAGTGGCAGGCTCAAACCCAGCACCTCAACCAATGGCTGATACCAAATGAGAGACTCCCTCCTGGGCACTCAGAAGACTGGGCGACTTGGAAGGCATTGAACAGATTGCGCTCTGGCACCACGAGATGCAGAGCCAACCTTCAGAAATGGGCCCACAAAGTGGAATCCTCGACATGCGAGTGCAGAGAGGAGCAAACCACTGACCACCTGCTGCAATGCAACCTGAGCCCTGCCACATGCACAATGGAGGACTTTCTTGCAGCAACACCGGAAGCACTCCAAGTGGCCAGATACTGGTCAAAGGATATTTAACCAGCTACCAAACTCACAAGTTTTGTATTCTTCTGTTTGTTTGCTTTGTTCTGTTAGAAATCCAATATAATGGACTGGCTGCTCTGACACGACAAATAAAATAGTCCAGTCACTTCAAGGATGCCATCCATCCATCTTAGAATCATAGAATCATAGAATCAAAGAGTTGGAAGAGACCTCATGGGCCATCCAGTCCAACTCCCTGCCAAGAAGCAGGGATATTGCATTCAAATCACCCCTGACGGATGGCCATCTTGCCCTTGGTCGGCCCCTCTTCCTTTTGCCTTCCACTTTCCCCAGCATAATTGTCTCTCTAGGCTTTGCTGTCTCCTCATGATGTGGCCAAAGTACTTCAACTTTGTCTCTAGTATCCTTCCCTCCAGTGAGCAGTCGGGCTTTATTTCCTGGATGATGGACTGGTTGGATCTTCTCGCAGTCCAAGGCACTCTCAGAACTTTCCTCCAACACCACAGTTCAAAAGCATCGATCTTCCTTCGCTCAGCCTTCCCTAAGGTTCAGCTCTCACATCGGTAGGTTACTACAGGGAATACCATGGCTTTGACTAGGCGGATCTTTGTTGCCATTCTGATGTCTCTACTCTTCACTATTTTATCGAGATTGGACATTGCTCTCCTCCCAAGAAGTAAGCGTCTTCTGATTTCCTGGCCACAGTCTGCATCTGCAGTAATCTTTGCACCTAGAAATACAAAGTCTGTCACGGCCTCCACATTTTCTCCCTCTATTTTCTAGTTGTCAATCATTCTTGTTGCCATAATCTTGGTATGATAGCCATGTATAAATATGTGAGAGGAAGCCACAGGGAGGAGGGAGCAAGCTTGTTTTCTGCTTCCTTGGAGACTAGGACGCGGAACAATGGGTTCAAACTACAAGAGAGGAGATTCCATCTGAACATGAGGAAGAACTTCCTGACTGTGAGAGCCGTTCAGCAGTGGAACTCTCTGCCCCGGAGTGTGGTGGAGGCTCCTTCTTTGGAAGCTTTTAAACAGGGGCTGGATGGCCATCTGTCGGGGTGATTTGAATGCAATATTCCTGCTTCTTGGCAGGGGGTTGGACTGGGTGGCCCATGAGGTCTCTTCCAACTCTTTGATTCTATGATTCTATGAACTGACCACCTTGATTAGCATTTGATGGCCTGGCAGTGCCTGGGGCAATCTTTTGTTGAGAGGTGATTAGATGTGTAGTCTGACATAGTGGTTGTTAGAGTGGTCCAACATTTCTACAGACCCACCAAGAAAATCCAACAAATGCTCCATTCAGCAAAGGACAAGAGGGATCCTCCCACTTCTGCAGGAGTCTACCGTGTACCATGCAGCTGTGGACAAGTCTACAGAGGGACCACCAAACGCAGCAGCATTGCCCAAACACAAATCAAGGAACATGAAAGGCACTGCAGACTACTTCAACCAGATAAGTCAGCCAGAGCAGAGCACCCGATGAACCAACCTGGACACAGCATATTATTTGAGAACACAGATCTGCTGGACCACTCCAACAACCACCATGTCAGGCTACACAGAGAAGCCATGGAAATCCACAAGCATGTGGACAATTTCAACAGAAAGGAGGAAACCATGATAATGAACAAAATCTGAGGATGCTTGCCATAGATGCAGGCGAAATGTCAGGAGAGAATGCCTCTAGAACATGGCAATTTAGTTAGAAAAAATTTACAACAACCCAGGAACAAGGCCTCTTGAGGGAAGGAAATTTAGGGGAAAAAGTGAATAATCAAGAATGGATATGGAGTGTGTGATTACTACAAAATATGTCCATAAGAATTTAGGAAAACTATTACAAAACGGTATGGAGACGATACCTAACCCCGGTTAGATTATTTATTTATGTACTGCATTTTGACTGCATTGGTGGTTGTTAGAGTGGTCCAGCATTTCTGTGTTCTCAGATGATATTCTGTGTCCAGGTTGGTTCATCAGGTGCTCTGCTTTGACTGATTTCTCTAGTTGGATTATTCTGCAGTGCCTTTCATGTCCCTTGATCTGTGTCAGGGCAAGGCTGTGTTTGGTGGTCCCCAAATAGCAGTGGTTCCCGACCTTTTTTTGACCAGGGACCACCTTGACCAGTTACCACTTTGTATAATAATATAGATGGGTTCCTGAGTGAAATGTATATAACAAAAATACCACTAGTATAACATAAACAATGATATAATTCAACAACAGTATATAAATATGCTGCACTGTTAACCTACAGCGACAACAAACAGTATGGTGCAAACTTATAGTACAGTTGTATTTTCTAATAGGTAGCTTGAGTAACAGCCTACCACAATTCAACAACAATATATATACATGCTGCACTGTTAACCCCACAGCGACAACAAACAAACAATGTGGTGCAAACTTATAGTACAGTCGTGTCTTCTTATAAGTCGCTTGTGGGACAGCCGACCACGACCGGTTTCGGCCTACCTCAGGCCTTCCTCTGGTGGAAAAATTATGCACATGAAAGTATGTTCTCCACGGGAGATACAAATCTTTTTGGGTTGGTATGAGATACTCTGCTTTGAGTTTAGTTCTGGCTGCGAGAGGTTAACAGTGCAGCATATTTTTATACTGTTGTTGAATTATATCATTGTTTATGTTATACTAGTGGTATTTTTGTTATATACAGTTACCACTTTGACCAGTAACCAGCTTGACCAGTTACCGCCTTGACCAGTTACTGCCTTGATCAGGGACCACCTCGACCAGGGACCACCTTGACCAGGGACCACCTTGACCAGGGATCACTTTCCAACATTAGTACCGAAAGGTTTTTGAATCAGTTTTTGGTTAACTTCAGATTCAGTTTGGTTATTTGGGGTGCTGATTCAGAAAACTGCAATGGATAGACTACATCAGCTCTAGTTTCTGATACAGAACATTTGCCATCCAGTAGTCACCATCTGCTCACCCACAGAAAACCATATTTAATAATCTAGAGCTGATGCAGTAGTAGTAATCTTTTGTGGGTAGTCAGTCCTTCCCCTCCTGACATCTCAGTTTCCTCGGCACTATCAGGGTTTCGCGAGACCAGTCACTCTTGTTGCTGTGTGGTTTTGTGGCAATGGTGTAGTAATGGTGAGGCCGTGGATCATATTTTTGTTCTTGTGGACCACAGGTTGGAAACCACTGCTATGTAGACTTGTCCACAGCTGCATGGTATACGGTAGACTCCTGCAGATGTGAGAAGATCCCTCTTGTCCTTTGCTGAACATAGCATTCGTTGGATTTTCTTAGTAGGTCTGTAGATTATTTGTAGGTTGCGTTTCTTTGTCAATTTTCCTATGTGGTTTCCTTGATGTATGTTAAGAACACTTTCCCTCAAGGTGAGCCTTTGTCTTCTTTCTTGTGACTTGTTCTTGGTCTTGCAGCTCTTCATATGTTTGTCTTAGAATGCATACCCACTGGCTCAGTTTATGTGGTTCAATTCACCTTGGAGGAGGTGGGATTCACAGATTATTTTTTGCACAGGCTTTAATTGTGACATGGGTGATAGTTGGAGTTTTTATGTAGGTCTCAATCAGTGTG